CTTCTGGATAAACAGAGCTGCTTGCCTCATTCTGTGCCTATTGCTTATGGGGTTTTTGTTTGTTTAAAAAGATGTTTAAAACAGTGACTATGAGGAGTGAATTTGTGGGGGTAGTTTTGGGACAAGGATTTTGTTGTTTTTCAGAAGTCTTTTAGGGCTCACCCAGCTGGCTGCCATGTGAGAGAGGCTGGAAGCACAGAGGGGTTGGGATGTGCAGCTTCTGTCCAGGCTGGGAGAGCACAGCAGGTCAGGTAACCAGCCAAGGGCTCTCCTGGGCATCCAGAAACTCCATTTCTGGTTGTGGAATGAAATCAGGGAGCAGGGGGCTCTGCAGAACTCTGCCATAGGGTTTGGTTTTCAGGGAAAAGCTGAATTCCATAACCCATGGTGGGCAGCGCTGCCCAGCCCTGAGGGGTCGCTGTTGGTCATTTGGGGTTGCTTTGTTTGTGTAGCCAGAGCAGTTCTTCTTAGGCAGCTGGCTGGAAATGGAGTCTTAATTCACTTTTAATAAAAGATCAATGGCTTTATTGTGAAAAGACAGAATACAGATGTAAACTGTACCTGGTAAAAGAATTAAATGTGAGTTTAACCTTCCTGTTTTGTTTTCTCAGTGCTACTGGTGCTTGACCTTCATTTTTGAGACTCTTGTCTTTCTTGGTAATTTTACATTTTAAGTTTTACTTAGACTACAAAAACAAACTCTGCTGGCGTTTTTCATCTCAAGTGCTTACCAAATCCCTCAGATTTTGCAAAATATTTAAAAAGTAATCTCCAGACTAAAGGCTCATTAAAACGTTTGCCCTTCCTGTGGAACAAAAGTTCAGAGAAGTTCTGGCTGATTGTAATTTGAAAACTGTAAAACAAAAGCCATCATGGTGTGAAGTATTAATTTAGGCTTGGCAGTCTCTCTCTAAAATTTATTTCCAGAAGCTTCCAATTAAAATGCAGCATGTCTAATTGTATTAGGGAAAGCACCTTGAAGGTTCTCCCTTTTATATTATATTGGAAGAAAAAGGCTACAAATACTAGTGATAATAAAACATCTTGCAGGTATTTTTTACTAAAAACCAGTCACATTTCTGTTCCAATGAGTTCACTTGAAGGAACTGTGTGCTCAGGAATTTCTTACCCATACTAATTTTCAGAATTGCTTTTTAGCCAAGCCATTTGATAGATTAGTCAGATATTTATCTTTTTGTATATTTATCTAATCTTTTTGTGCCTTTAATCTAATTTGTACCTTTAATCTAATTTGTACCTTTGTTATGCATTGGGTTGTTATACTCCTTGAACAATGCAATTTAAAAGGTTTTCCCCTGTGGCTCTTTGCCCCGTTTCAAAGGAAAAAAAAAGCAAAATTGGGGAAAGGACAGGTTAACCAGGATGGTTAAAGGTATGGAATACCTCACCTCATAGGGCTGTAAAGAATTTAATTCCCTTCAGTCTGATGGAGACAGCACAGAATGGTTTGGATTGGAAAGGACCTTGGAGATCATCCACTCCCATCACCTTCCACTAGATCAGGGGTTTTTAAATTAAAAAAAATATTCCAAAAAAGCAAATTTTGGGTATTTCTTGGCAAAATGTAGTTGCAGAGAGAGAAGTATCTGCAGTTGTTTTGTATTGACAGAGTTCATTTCATCTGCAGGTGGTATTGGGTTGGGGAAACCTGAAACAAGTGCTTGGGGATGGTCTGTAAGATGATACTTTTTGTTGAAAGTTTTGTAGTTAAATATTCCCAAGATGGTCTGGACAACTTAAACAGTTCTGCTATGTTAGAGCTTGTATATAATGAGATAAAAGAAAGCAAAATGTTTTCAGTTGTGAACTCTCATTCAAACTTCTGAAATGAATGCTGATTTAATCTGAAGCCAAAGAGAAATGATTTTCAAAATCAGTTTTGCAAATGTGATTAAGTTCTAGTGTGATAAATCCCTTTGCAGCACTTCCTTTCAGGAGATCCCCTTTCTGTTTTGGATTTATGTTGGGTGTATGCTGCAAATCAATATTAAGAATAAGAAGGAATATAAATAGTATGCTCAGAGGCAATTTATTTAGATGATGTAATCATTTTAGAATGAGTAATGAAATTGGAACATTTTTCTTGAAGTGCGGATGCTCATGTACATGAGGCAGAATCTGTGTGGGTTCTCAGGTTTGGGTGGTTTTGCAGTCCAGGAATAAAGAGAGAGAGGAAAAGGTAGGAAGTGGATTTGTTTGAAGTGGTTTATTTTCAAATAAATAAATATCTTGGTTTTAAATATAAGCGAATATGAAGTTTTAAGTATTCTGAAGAAAGTAAGTAAATTGAGAGTAAGTTATTTTACTCTTAGTAGAAGAGTAAATTGAGATTAAGCCCTTATGGAAAGGGTGGGGGAGGCAAAAGCCCTCAGAAATAATTTTATTTGATGTAATGAAGTCCTGTGGGTTCCCTTTTTAATTCCCTCAATACAGACACAGAGAAAATTTCATTGGGAACTCACCTGGGCACGTCCTGGGTTCCCCTTCCTCTGGGGGTGACTCATGGGATGTGGGTTTGAGCAGCACAGGAAATAAAACATCTTTACAGGAGAACTCTCTTCTTCTGGTGTGTTTGGAATCACCTCTGGGGAGGGAGGATATCAAAGAGAACCAAGGGCTTCTTTCATTTTTGCCTCTGGTTCCACTGCGTGTCCTGGGTCGCTGATGTGTCATCCCCACAGCCTCCTGTGCATCCAGGGAACTTCATTAACAGGCTCCTAAATTTTGGGGTAAGAAAACATCTAAAGGAAGTCACCTCAGAACTATTTTTTCCCTTTCCTGTCCAAATTATGGTGTTTTGATGGCCAAAATAAATATTGAATCTACAACGGTGGGTTGGATAATCAATTTTTCCTGGTTCTGTGCTAAAGAAGGTTTTTTTGAATTATAACCAAACCAGTAATGCTGCAATGCAGTTAATTTTAGAATTCTGTAATGTTACAGAAGGAAGTGGGAAATTTGGAATAGGGCTGCACAGTGACTTTCATGTGTGGGATTCACAAATGTGATAAATTTCAAGAAGTGGGAGCAGGATCTTCAAGGGAAACTGAGTGCCTGGGCTGTCTTTTCTTAGAGCCATGAGTTAAATCCATGCTACTAGGAAAGATTAATTTGCCACTTGTATTTTCTGTGTTCAAGCAACAGCTCTGAAAGACAGTTCCTTGGCTATTTCTGCCTTCTTGGCCAGTTGAGAAAATGTCTTTAAATCAACAAGTAATTATGTTCTAATTTTTTAAAAATATGACTGAAAAGGCATATTTTTTCCCCAAGTTCTTAAACTGTTTCATCTGGGTAATGATGATTAAAAGTTCTTTAAGCACTACCTTCACACAGCTTTCAACTATTTCTGTTTAGAGAGCATAACATTTCAAAGTGGTTTATTTCAAAATGTCACTTCCATTCTCTGGCTTAAGAGGATTTTCTGGGCCTTGAGGTTTAAGTTTCTGAATGGAATTGGAGGAATATTGTTTTAATTTAATATAAAAATTTGCCTTTAATTAAAAAAAAACCCAACAAAACCAACAGTAGTAGTTACAAGTCAGTCCTGGATGTTTTGCAAATGAGATAATCAGTCAGACAGATCTTTTCAGAAATCTACCTCAGGTATTTGACAAGGCTCTGCATGAAACTTGGCTATTTTTATCTTTTTTGCACAAGCACTGATGATTTTTTATCACAGATAGTTCTTGTATTTCATACTCAACGGTTTACTGCTGGTGGGAAATATTTTTAAAAAGTTATTTAAGTATAAGATACTTAAATTTTTATTTAAGTATCATGAAGAGTTGAACAAAAAGAACTGGGAATTTCTGGTAATTCTGATTCTCAAGAACTGGGTTTTACTGCCTAAGGGTGTCCCTAAAGGAATTCTTCACCTCCAGGCTGCAGCACAGGAGCTTTGTGTTGTCCCTTGCAAAACCTTGCTCAGCTTCATGATAGACTTTCTTTTAAATCAGCTTCATCTCAAGATGATAATATTAATTATCCATTTAATGTAATTGATGTGAAGGACTCTTAATAGCATCAACTGCAGGGTGACTTCAGATAATGCCCAGTCTTTTAATTTTTAATTTGTATATTTAAACCCTTTCATGCTCTTTACTGTATGGCTGTTTTTCAAGCTGAGATGTGTAATAAGTTTGCAAGTGAAAAATTAATTTTCTGTTGCCACCATATGGCTGTGAATGTTGAGAGTGTTTGGATTGCATGAGTAATGCCTCAAAGATAGAATTTTGACTTAAGTTATAGGCCACTGAATAATCTTATTTTAAATCAAATGAAGATCTGATTAGGGGAGGTTATTATTGCTGAGGTGGTGATTTTCTGTGTAGCTGGAGGGAAAATAATTAAGGCTGTTTAGTTTCTGGGAATGTCTGTAAAGAATATCTTCTTAATAAATCAACTAAAAAATAGTCAAATTTCACTAATCATTACCTGTAAGCTAATCCAGGAAAAGCTCTGTGAATTAAAGTGTTACTATTCAATCAGCAATGAAATAAATGCTCCATCACTAATGTAATAAAAACAGAGTCCTGCTTACTGTTCAGTGGGGTTTTTCTATTAGATTTTTTTTCTTTTTGGTCTCCATTATTTGCTAGAATTACCAACACTTGAGATGAGCTGCTTGTGGAGGTGCTGAGTTTTTTAGTGCTGGCCCCAGCTCAGCAGAACTCCAGAGAATAACTTAAACACAGAGTTCCAGTAAGCAAAGCCAAAACTTTCCTAGTTCATCTTGGATATCATGGAAGTGTGTTATGTTAATTTTACATTTTCATCACGTGCCAAGGTTGAGTTTGTGCTCCTGAGATGGTGCTGAAATGACTAAAGCCTGTGATTTCACTGAACACTCATTTGGTGTAGATTAGATTAAAAACTATTCTTGCTCTTTGGAAAACCGGGTTGTAGCCAAAGTTCTCGTGCAGCTGATATGACTGCTCTCTTTTTGGTTTCTTTTTTTTCCATTTCTTCCCCCTTGGCAGGGTCAGTACAGGCCCTCTGACCTGCTGTGCCCTGAGACCTACGTGTGGACGCCCATTGAGCAATGCCTGCCCCTGCTCGAGCACTCCAAGTACTCCCGCTTCAACCAGGATGGAAAAGCAGGTGAGGCTGCAAAAATGAAATAGCTCTGATTTGTCTGTCTGCTTCTAATAAATCAGAATCATCTGCTGCTGAAACAGCATGGGAATCTCACCTGTAAAGGATAAAAAGTGTACAATTCACAGCTCCCGCAGCAAACATTTATCTTTTAAGCAATGCACATTTTAAGTATATTTTGTCCTGTAGGCTGTAAGTAGTTCAAAATTAACACATATTGCTGCCTTTCAGATTATTTTCAAATTGTATTTGTTATTCTGGGCATGAACAAACCAATAAAATAATTGTTCCTCACTTGCATTCCTGTTGGATGAATGCATAAAGGAATTAAATTGGGATCAATACAGGGAAGTGGAAAGGCTGGAGAGGCTTAAAGGCATCAGGTGCTTTTGTTAAGAAACAGAGTGGCAGATTTAGTTTCACAATCAATTAAACATTCAGTTCAATTGATGTGGATATGAAGAACACAATAAACAGCTGAAGTACCTTAAACATCATGATGTAATGTGATATAGTTTTTACACATTGTGTAAAACAGGTACTTAATTATTTACCAGCACTGACTGTTTGAAATTGTTGCTGACCAGAGCACAATACAGTGATGCTACTGGAAAACAAGGCAATCAAATGAAAAAAATACATTATTTGCTTTAGTTACTGACTCTCTGGGCCAATGGCAGGCCCCAAGGGAGCTGTGTTAGACCATGCTTGGTGTGGTGCTTGGGGGAAAGAGAATAACTTTTGTTATTAATTGCAACTTGTTGAACGTCCTCTTTTTGAAGTTTTCTTTCTCTTTTGAGTAACAATTGAGTGTGGCTGTGATATTATTCAGAGATGTGTGGCGTTATTCAGGTTAAAAGCACTGTGGTTTGTTTCTAGACACCAAACACAGATTTACCTGAGTCTCAGCATTCTTCAGCAGCTACTTCTTTCTTTTTACATGTTTTTACTCTTTTTACCTTTTTTTTTACAGTTTGATCCTTTTACTTTTTACTGTAGTTTAGTAGGATTCCCATGGCAGTTAACTCCTCAAAGGGCAGAATGTAGATAAATTAAAGGAATTTGAAATGAATGCTTAAGCAGGACTGTAAAGTTCTGGAATTGCTGTTGAGTTCCTTGCTTTTCCTCACCCTCTGCCTGTTACTTGGTTGCTCAATGGAAACATTAATAATAATAATAACAATAATAATGATAATAACTGCAATAGCTGGGTTCTAATAAATCCATCATTGTTAGATTGGTGAGGGGAAATTGGGAAAAAAAATTACAAAATTAGGAGGAAGAAGGGAATGATTTTGGAGACCAGTGATGTTTGGGATACTTGTGGTGTTCAGAAAGGAGAGAGTGCTGAACTGGTGCCTCTGAAGGTGTTTATAACCCTGTGCCAGCAGAGGGGCAGCATCTTGTGCATGGTGTGAAATCCCTGTGGCATAGCAGGCGTTTGGAAACCACGGGAAACAAAGCTCTGCATCATTATCAGCCCAGAATATCTCACTGCAGACGCTGCTGGAGCTGGGACTTGTGTCCTGTGGTTTAAGGAAATTAAAACATAGCAGCACGTTGAGATGCTCTGGGCCTGCTGGGAGCTCGTGGGCTTTGGGGGTTTGGGTTGCTGCTCAGAGGAAGCCATTTCTCACCAGTGAAATCCTCATTCTTTACTCTCTCCAGCAGTCACTAATACCAGTTTAATGAAGTTACAGTGAATTTTAAAAAGAGCAGTACAAATGGTCGTGTGCTTTATTCCCCTTGAATCAGCTTTCTGTGGCACTGGCTGTAATTGTGTTTGTTAAGTGGGCCATGATTTATCAGGAGTGGGACTTCCAGCCCTGAAACCCAGGGCAATAACCAGAACCAGTAAACAACTGGAAGAAATAGTGTGATTTTCATTGCTGCTTGGGGCAGTGAAGTTGTCACTGGCAATGGCCATCTTCTCTTGCTGTCTGTAATGGCAGAAAATTTGGAAAATATTGTCTCACAATAATTTGTATGAGACATAATTAATGTGTTCATCATTTCCATGAATTTTTGAATATGTTTTCTCTCCTTTAAAAAAAATCATTACAATTTACATCATAAATTTACCAACTGCACATGCAGTAGAGTGTCTTACATGTTTTGATCTTTCAAGCCTCTGTAATATAAAAAGGATTTTTGAGTATCTATACACATTACATTGCAGAGCTCCTTCTTCAATAAGATCTGCTTTTACTTTTCTGGAATAAAAATAAAAAGATACTCATGAAAAGTGGCTTTTTATTTTAAAGCATAAGAAAGTGTCAATTTATATCATTCATGCCTTGGAACAGATTCTTCATTTTTGTTCTGTTCATTTTGAAAAATTTCGAAGACCTGGCATCATCTTATGAATGAGAGAGATTCATGAACATTCTGATATTAATAACGAGTAGCCAGGCATTTATTTAGGACTAAGTGAGTATTTGGTGAGGTGGTGCACTGATGGAGGGTTTGGATACTGGTGCAATCTGGAAATTGAGATTGTGCTGAACTTCATTTAATGGCCATCAGCTGTAAGTGCAGATGAGGATAAGCTAAAGAAAGAAGAATTAATTAAAAGATTGCTCTGCAGTCAGTGACTTTGATAACAAATCAAACTGATGAGCAGAAGTCATTCACATGATAGCATTTGCTGAAATATTCCTGGCCATGGTCTGCCTGCCACACCCACTGAGTTCCTCCCAAAACTGCTCCTCAGGGTTTTACCTCATTGTGTCTTCCCTAACAGCTTTGCCCATGAAATAAGAGCTCAGTGGAAAGATCTAGAAATCATTTATTTGGTATCCTGGCAGTATTTTTGTCCTTTCAGTTTCCGTTTTCTAGACTAACTCAGTGTCATGTTCTCTCTCTAATATCTATTGAGATTTTCAGTTTGTTGCTCCTGGGAGCAAAAAAATATCTTCATGGAGTAAAATATCTACTTTTGGGATAGTAATTAAATTAGTGGGAAACTTCAAATCTTTCTTCCCATCAGTGCTGGACTGTCAAGATGTTTAAAAAGCAACTTCAGATGAGGGCAGATACAATCCCAGTCTGAGAGTGGTGGCTTCAAAGCCTTTGTAGTTACATGACTGTGTCACAGAATGTGGGGTGTACTTGGTGAAGCCAGGGTGAACATGGGGCTGTTACCCAGGTGAAAAAGCTTTATCCAAATTTTTAGGCATGGCCCACAGCAATCCCAGTGGTGGGAGCTGCTTCCCACCTTCCTGTGTCTGCAGAAACTGTGTGAGCAGAGCTTTGAGAGCTGCACTTCAAAAGGACTTTGGTGCTTTTTCTGTCTTAACCATTTTGTTTGCTGAAGTTGATAAATTGGCTAAGCTAATACACATCTGTTCAACTTCCTGCAGATCTAATAATAGAGTGAAATCAATATGGCACCGAATGGAATACATTAATTAAAATGAAAGTATTTTCTTCAGCACATTAGAAAAAAAAACATTGCACTTAACAAATGCTTAACACAGGCTCCTCTGCCTTTGTGTGTTCATGGGGACAAGACACTCTTTGCTCCAGAGGGTATGGTTAACACAAACCATGATGCATGCAGAAGGGTGGGATAAAGGCAGAGAGAGGCACTTCTGGGTTTCCTGGTCAGTTATATAGTAGACTAAATTATAGTCTATTAATAGACTAAATAGTATTAAACTGAACTGAACTTGTGTAAACATCACAGTGAAGGAGAGTTTCAAAGAGAGAGATCTAAGGAAGTTTCTTAGTTGTCTTTCAGAGCTTATGGAGAAATCTTTTGCAGTGTGAGAGTTGTAGAAGAAATTAAGAATATGGAGACACATAGCAGTTTCCTTGAAAACATAAATTTGTCTGGAATATCAGGATCCTACAGTCAGAGGTGGAACTGCAGGCGGATTGCTGCCTGCAGGTGCTAGGGATGAAGATGGAGTGAAGCAGAGTGAGGGAAGCTTTGGGAGTGAGGATTTCTGATGTGATTGGGGTGTGGGAGCTGGCAGAGACATGGATAGAGGATGGGAGGAATTTTGCAGTAGTTCATAGAGGTAGAACAATGAGAAGAAGGGTTTGACAAGAGCAAGAAATAAGTGATGGTAGGATTCAAACTTGAGCATGTTACCAGATACTTGTAGAGGTGTGAAGGGAGGCTGTTATTTGGATACACCATCTAAAGAGGTTTAAAGAGATTACAAAGCCAACCACCTTCCGCTCTTTGCTGCACACCAGGCTTTGCATCTGCCACCTCCTCACAGCACTGAGGACCTTTTTCCTCCCAGCAGAGTGGAAATCCTTAGCAGAGCTCAGGCTTTAGGCTGTGTCCAGCTGGTGTGAGCCAAAGGGATGATGGGCAGTGGGATCCAGAGGTGAGGATTTGTCTGTTCTCTGCTTTCCAGTGCTCAGGCTGGGGCTGCACAAGGGACAGATGTTGACATCCAGAAAGCCTTTGAAACTGCCTTGTGTCCACATGCAAGCCTTAACCACGAGAATAAAACAAAACTTAAACCCAAGCCAACACTAAGTCCTGGAACACCACACGAGGCTATGGAGAGGTCAGAAAATCCTCACTTCACACTCACAAGGATCACTATAAAAAGTTCATTCCATGTAATAACTCCTGAGTTCATAGCAGATCATTCATTTCTGAATTATTGAACTAAGAAAATTACTTCAGGTTTCCAGTCTTTCTCTGTATTATAACATTTATTACGTGTTTTTACCAGATTTTAAAAGCTTGTAGCTGAAAAAACTGGGTTTTAGAAATACATCTTTATATGTATATTTATCTGTCCTGCTCATAGTAAAATGCAAAATAGTGAAATGCAAAGTAAAATACTACAGTAGTAAAATGCAAATAAAAATCCCAGTACTTAACAACTTCTGGATCCTCTTAGTAGTGATTGCATTATGTATCTTACTGCTTCTTTCAAGCAACTGAGTGTTATTAGTTCTAGTAAATAAAACTTAAATAAAACCAGAAATGTACAGGCATGTGGAGTTATACAAAACTGTTTATTTTAAATGTATGT